GTCAACTGGCTAAATGACCATGCATAAGTCATTTTCCTGCTAAGTCTCAGGATTCTGGTTGGCAAATGAAATAAAAAAGACACGCCCTGCCACTGTGAGGAATTATAAGGATTAAATGACATGAGAGCATTCTCAAGTGTGTATACCAATGGAGAAGAATCTAGAGAGACTCCGAAGGGAGTCTTGCCATGAGGAGCACCTTGTCTACCCCGTGTGAGGCATCACGACTAAGTGATGAACAACCAGACTGCCTGAGCTTGAATCCTGGCTCTGTCAGGTACCAGCCATGAGATCTTGGGAAAGTCAACAACCTCTCTGTGCCTCAGTTTTATCAGCTTTAAAATGAAGCTCATAGCACTTACCTGATAGAAGTGTTGTGAGATTTAAATGAGTTAGTATTTGTAAACCCCTTAGAAAAGTGCCTGGCATACACTAAGCACTGTATATGTTTGTTATATAAAACACGGAAGCATTGTTACAGAGATGAAAATAACATCCCCAGGCAAAAATGAAGGGAAAAGAAGAGTTGGCATATTGGAGAGATGTTAGAGAAGGTCAACATGTAGCTATTAATGAGAGTGGAAATAAGGAAGTGTATTGATGCTTAACAGCTACATAAACCCCCTTGCTTCTTTGGGATCCTTCAAATAAGCATTTCTTTTTCTTTTTTGGAACTAGTTCAAGTTCCCCTCCTCTCTTCCCTTCCACTGCCTTCCTGATCAATAAGTGGGGATGGAATCTCCCAGAATATTTCAGGTGTGGAAGGGTGACTAGAGGTAGCTGTACCCTGTGGCACCCAAACGAGAGATGGTTGTAACCAGTTATACTGAGTGAAGGGAAGTAGAGGGCAAAGAGGAAGCAAAGGGTTGAGCAGGAATTTTGTGTCTTTCTTTTTGTGGGTGGAAATTCCTTGGTCATGAGATTTAAAAAAGGAAGCTACCACTTCCATACTACAGTATACTATTTTCTGCTGGATTTTTTTTTTTTACTGGATATCATCTTCATTGAGATTTGGGTTGACTTGAATCCACTTCTTCAAAACAAGCAGAAACAATCACACACACGTTCTCAAAACAGAGATAGGATCCTGGCCAACCATTGATTTTACCACCACTCCCCTCCACTAGCACATAATCAAAAATTGAGTATAACAAAGGAAATACGGGTACGTAGACAGCTCCACCAACATTGGTACCCCGACTGATTGCTTATACCTTTTTCTTTTCCAGCTTCCACATAGCTGAGCCTGGTTACCCACAAACTTTCAAATTCCTCCCTCTCCAAGATTCCATACAAGAAAGGTTTGATTCAGGAAATACTTGAGTAGCCTGAGTGACCCTGCATGACCTTTGGGCACCTGCTGTGACGGTACTCTGGCTGCTTTGTCGGTCACCAGATTGATTTCCAGAGCTGAGCAGGCTGACAAGGTGGGCCTCTACTCCCTCTGAGGGAGTCTTGTGTTATCGCAGGGATGGAGTGTCCCAGCCTCTATTTGGAAATTAGATTTTTGGGCTGATGTCCTGGTATCCAGTTTTCACCATTCATAACATATTTTTCCATTTCTATAATTGAGCTTCTGGTTTTGAACCCTTTCTGAGTGTCTGTGGCAGTAGTCTGCTCAAATCTCTTTCTAGAACAGAGCCTTTGTCTTTATCTTGAAGGCTCCTCTCTGTAAGGACTTTGGACCAGTGGCAATTTGGCTCTTATCAGGGCTCTTCTTCAGGCATGAAATCCTGTCTCTAACCCCCAGGATGGTGGTTGGGGCCTACTTATTCATGGACAGATATCCAGATGAGCCCACTCATCTCTTGGACTTCTAAATATTAACTGTTGGAATGCCCCATGACTGTGTTCTACATTCAACAGGATATGAAGACTGTTGACAATGGACTTTTGCTTATTCTGAAGAAGCTAATTCAAGTCAACCAAAATAAGATTGATGAGAATGGTGCTTGAACTATGTCTGGATATGGTATTTTCCTTGGATATTCTGCCTTGCTGGCCTGCCTAAACTTTCGTTATTGGCAAAAGATTGCCCACCAAACCCAACCCTCCTCTACAAGTGGGTTTAGAGACAGGCTTAGCCTCTGCCTGAATAATCCTGTCTTGCTGAGAATAAAACACCACTCTTCGCTAACAATTCCTACAATGTGGTAACGACCAATAGTAAGGACAGTATTTTATTTCACTTTAGCCTCAAAGTTGGTGAAGGCAGCGTTGCTCAGTGGTTAAGTGTAAGACACTGGAGTTCAAATCCTACTTCCTCTACTTTTTGGCTAAATGATCTCTAATTTTCTGTGTCTCAATGTTTTAATCTGTAAAATTGGAATATATCAATAGTACTCATCTCAGAGTATTGTGAGGATTAAACAAAATAATAAATGTAGACTACTTAGAGGAATGCCAGATGTGTAGTGATTTTTTTCCATAAATGGTTGGTTATTACTATTATTTGTGAGAGATAGGAGAAGAGAACAAGGGGAGGGGTTGACAAAAGTGAGGCCAGACAGGTGAGGAGAAAAGGAAGCATTAAAAGAATGTGGGGGAGAACATGTGGAGGGAAATGGGCATGCAGCAAATGTGGTAGACTCTTCTCTCTTCTACCCCAGAGGGGGTGTGGCCAGTTGGCCACTTGGAGGAACAGTTAGAATCATAGTGTTCACAAGTTATGATGAATAAGTTGAGGTCTGAGTATGACTAGGAATCTTGGTTCGTAGAGAAAACTTTTCCAGCATGAAGGAGTCACGAGTTTGCACACACAGACTTCTCTTATTTCAGTGATTTCAAGGGAAAATGGGGATTTCTAATCTCCTTTTTCCACGGCTTCTCAGCTGCCCCAACCGCTCTGAATTCCAGGGAAATGAATAAAATCAGTGTTAACTAGTAAGCCCAATGCTAAAAATGAGGGACCACCTCTGCCAGAAAGAGCAGCAGGAGGAATTTAAGGTATATTTCTGCACGCAGGAAATGCCTGTGCAATAATCTTTATGAGGCAAACAGATCCATGCAGCAAAGGCAGATGGTACATGAATGCACTTCTGGCTTTACTGCTATAAAAACAAGCCCCAACTCCATTTCATGGGTCCCTGACAAAATAAATATCTCACCCCTGGTTTTCTCTCCTAGAACCCCAAGAGCCTACACCTCAGCTCAAACTCCCACCACCTTTCCTCCTGCTTACATCCCTCGGACCATCCCAAACAGAGGAGCCTTGTCCAGGATCTCTGTGCAATAAAGTCCCAACTTTTCCTAATATCACGTGAAAAGCAAGTGTGAAAAACGACAGCAGCATTAGCTAATATTTGTTAGGCACTTGCTATGTTCAGCACTGTGTCAAGTGTTGCACAAGAATTATCATTTTGCTTCTCTAAACAGCCCTCTTGCACTAACAGTTTCTCCATTTTGAAGTGGAAACAACAGGGAGAGCTAGTAGGACTTCCCCAAAGTCACAAAGCTGGTGGATAAACGATTCATTACTAGCAGAGCCAACAACTTTTGATTTCAGATTCAGTAGATGAGACAAGTGTATCTTAGAACTGCCTTTTATCTTAGCATGTGCTTCGCCCTTTGAAGAGCATCAAGGATCTGAAAACTTAATAAGTGAGGAGGTCAGAAAGAATGTAGAGTAAACAGAGCTATAGTCTTGGGACGGGAAGAACCAACGTCCATTCCAGCTGTACCAATTTCAGGTTTTGAAACTTCAGGTGAATCGTTTAACCTGAATCTTAATTTATGCTTGTTCTTTTTTTTTGCATAATGGGATTAATAATATCTATCTTGCTTACTTCAATGGTTTTAGCATGGATAACATAAAAATACAGGCAAAAAAATTGTAGAATGCTTTGCAAATTAAGTGGTATCAAATGTCACCCTGCCCAGGCCTTCTCTGGAAGATTGGGGACATCCCTAGGTTTCTATTTAGGTACTATCCAACTCTTTTCCCCCTCTGCTTGCATTTTATATCTGCCATGTCAGGGTGTCTAGCATAAGCTCTGAAAACTTAGCCTGCCCAGTGGTTGCAGTCTCCATGAAGCTCAAAAAAGAGGAGCCACAGCTTTAAATGGTCCGGAAACAGAGAGAGCAAGGTGCATTGATTCTACCTTTTCAGGAAATCCTAACTCCCTAGATTCTCTGTGTTCTAACTCATGCCAGGAATTTGCTAGTGCATTTTCAGAGCTGGTAAGAAATATCTTAAGTAGATTTAGAAATGCCAAACGCAGTCAATTTTTGTATAAACAAGGCAATTGCTTGAATTTCATGAGATGATATATACAATGACAAAACACTCCCAGAGCTACGTTACTGTTCCATAGTTTTCTTTGTACTAACAACAATCAATACTCATTTTGTCCTTTATAGTTTACTGCTAAGCTGTAAGTAAGAGAAACAGAATTTTTAGTTCAACTTCTCCATTTCTTTTTTGAGACTTACCTTATTTGTAAAATAGGGATAATAATCTCTTCCTCATTTATTTTTGAGAGTTTTGGGAGGGTATAAGCAGGGTAATAGCTCTGATGTGCTTTGAAAATAAGGGGAGCTTATAGAGATGAAGTTTTTACAATAACAATTATAGTCATACATCATTCTAATCTGCTAGAGTAATGAAATATAATTGGGGAGGGCAGGTCTCCTTCAAAAACTGTATAACCAAAACTATATGTAACCAAAAACTATAAAAGCCAAAAAGAAATTGCTTTTGAGTTATTTGATGTTTGGGATTATTTATTCTTTTGCCAGGCTTTCTGGGTGGGTCTATCTTCTCCTGAGCAGAAGGGCTTGTCTCAGACCTTTGGAGACTGGACACAGAAAAAATTCAGAAATACAAACTCTAAAGCTGAAAAATAGTTACGTTTAAATCTTAAGTCTCTCCTCAGCCACTTGGATCTCTTTTGGGACCCCCTTTTAAAACAGATCAAAAGGGCATTTCAATGTCTTCCTTAAGGGCAATTTTAAAAACTTAACAGAAAACTAGGAGGGGATCAGCAAGGATCAGAACTCACAGGTTTGCAGGCAAAGGAGCAAAATCCCTAGGCGGTGCTGGGCCATCTTCTCCAGGGGAATAATCTTCGGGCAAGGAGGACGTCACTCTTCTAGCCGAGAGTCTGTTTCACGCAAGTTGCCTTTTTAGAACCGCGTGTAAGAAAGGAAGTATGAGTTAACTGTTTAGGAAACTTGGTCTATGTATCATGATGGTAGATTTTTTTCCTATTACATAACATAAAGTACATAGCATTAATTATTTATTTACCCAACAAATGCTTATAGAATGCCTACTATGTGCCAGGTGCTATTCTGGGTACTGGCAATATAAAGAGCAACAAAGCAATTGCTCTCCCTCCTTTCGTGGTGCTCATGATACCAAACCTCTTAACCTCAAGTTCGTGTGCCTGATGTGCAGTCAACCAAGCACTGAGACATTGGTGTTTGGAGAAAGATTTATGCAAATTGAACAAAACGAGAAGGTGGGAGCATGGGTGCGCTCAAATCTGCCTTCCCAAAAGCAGAAAGCAAGGGGGTTTTATAGCGCTAAGGGGCTCGGCAGGAGGAGCCTTGGAGAAACGAAGGAGTCGCTCTTGATAGCCCCCGGGCAATCTGACTTCTTGGCTTCAATGGCTGCTGGGGGCGGGCCATCCAGGAGATCACAACCTCCCTGAAGGCATTCTCTTTCTTCTGCAAAATAAGCTCATGAATCTGCAAAACAAGCACACAAATCCTCCAGTTCACCGTGTCACCGCCCCAGTTAAACAGGAAAAAGCAAACTGCGTATTGAATATCTACAGCAACCCTCAGGTACCCGGCTTCACTCGTATTCTTGTCAGGGAGATCAACAATTAAACAGGCAATTCCAATACAGGGTGATACATGTTGCAAGAGAGAAAATATGGGGAGCTGGGAGAGCAACGAGGGCATCTAACCCAGGCTAGGGGAGTGTAAGGAAAGCTTCCTGAAGGAACTGACAACGACAAGCAAGCTGAGACAGATCTTAAGAGTAAGTTAGCGTTATTAGGAGGAAAGTGGTGGGAGATAGGGAATAGGAAGAATGTGTTGACATGATAGGAGCTTAACAAATAGTAGCAACTAATATTATATAATTATAGTTATATATGATAGGCTATAATAAAATTAAGTATAACTCTATTATATAGTATGTATATTATCTATTATATATAACTAATTATTATATTATATTATATTTAAGTATTATAATTATATTGTGATTGAGCTAGATGTAACACAGGATTATTCTCTGGTAGAGGTCCCGCTACTCACCATTAGAAGAAAAACAGGGGCCTTGCATGTGTGGGGGTGTCAAGGAGTGGTGATGAGAATAAATATTTGGGTCTAGAAGTCAAGCAGTTTGAATTTGGACCCAGCTGTTTTGAGGAGTGCTGGGAAAGCTAAGGACACAGTCCCTGAGACCTGGGGAAGTAACTGTACACAGCCCTTCCCACTGAGAGAAGTCCCTAGCCAGCTAGCTCATTTCTAGGCAACCTGCGCCTCCAGAGTCACTTCCTGAACAATCCTGCTCATCATTCTTCATATATACTTGTTCAGTATTGAGTGGTTGAGTGCCTTTCTGTACATATAGTGAATGGGGCAGCTGTTTGGGACCAAAGAAGGATTGAAATTAAAAATGGAATTTCCCCAATTATTTCCTTTCACAAGATTAAGCTATATTACTTTTAACATTTTTAGGAAGCGTGTCTTCCTGAAATACATAATTACTACATGTGCAAAAACACACAGCTATCACATGTTAGTTGCACAGAGAAGGAAGAAAAAAGAAAGAATATGAAGTTGTCAAGAGCTGCTGAAAACCTGACTTTGTATTCTCTTTTTAACTTCTTCATTCTAATCCTTCTTCCTTTGCCATTTAAAACTCTTACTTGGTCTCATGTCTACGTCTTTAGAAATCCTAGGTTGTTAGCTTACTCAAGAATTTATCTCTTGTTGAGCTTGGACCAGTGTCTTATCTCTGTCTTTCAGCCTTAGATTGCCAGAAAACTGGTGTATTTTTTATCAAGAAGACACTACCTTTTGAGACCTCTTCTCTTGATATGATATAGAAGGACATGAAAGTCTTTTCATTCCATGGTAACAACAACAAAGCCAAAATAAAAATCACTGTTCCATGGGATATGTAATGAATGGTGTATGCAAAACACCCTCAATAGACTAAATTCCAGAAAGAAATGTGCCCTTTGTAGATGAGCGGAAAGGCAATAGCTCAAGACTTGGGGCAGGAGGCTGGTTTAGGATACGGAACAGCAGAAAAGAGGCTACCATAGACAGAAATTTAGAGAAGAAGGACAAATTAGATGAAACTTAGTTGATAGTGTGGGCTGACAGCACCGGCTGGAATCTGGAAGAACCTTCAATGGAAAAACCAATGGTTTTGCCCAACAATTCCCATTCCCTCCAGAATTTTGTTGAGAAAGTGGCATGAGAAGGGACTGGAAAGCAGAGACAAATTTTATGGTACCGAATATTTCATAACTGTTGGATTCTGGAGTTTTAATATAAAAGTAAACCAAAAATACTGAAATTGCATCCCAACTTATTCTCACCTCAAATATTGATTAGATCTAAGAGACAGTGGCGGGGAAGGAGTTTGAGGGTTAGGCTAATAACAGGTGAATTCCATTATTAAAGCTGTTGCCTTATACCAGCTCAATTTAATTCTTTTTTTTTTTTTAATGTTATGATAGATTACAACCTTGTGAGATTTCAGTTGTACATTATTGTTAGTCATGTTGTGGGTACACCTCTTCCCCCTTTGTGCCCTCCCCCCACTCCCCCTTTTCCCTGGTAACCACCGATCAGATCTCCTTGTCAATATGTTAACTTCCACCTATGAGTGGAGTCATATAGAGTTCGTCTTTCTCTGACTGGCTTATTTCGCTTAACGTAATACCCTCGAGGTCCATCCACGTTGCTGCGAATGGGCCAATTTTGTCTTTTTTTATGGCTGAGTAGTATTCCATTGTGTATATATACCATATCTTCTTTATCCAATCATCGGTTTCTGGGCATGTAGGTTGGTTCCACGTCTTGTCTATTGTAAATAATGCTGCGATGAACATAGGGGTGCAAGGGACTCTTGGGATTTCTGATTTCAGGTTCTTAGGATAGATACCCAGTAATGGGATGGCTGGGTCATAGGGTATTTCTATTTTTAACTTTTTGAGAAATCTCCGTACTGTTTTCCATAGTGGCCGCACCAGCCTGCATTCCCACCAACAGTGTACGAGGGCTCCCCTCTCTCCACAACCTCTCCAACATTTGTCGCCCTTGGTCTTGGATGTTTTTGCCAACCTAACGGGTGCAAGGTGATATCTTAGTGTAGTTTTGATTTGCATTTCCCTGATGATTAGTGATGACGAACATCTTTTCATGTGTCTATTGGCCATATTTATATCTTCTTTTGAGAAATGTCTGTTCATGTCCTCTGCCTATTCCTTGATCGGGTTGTTTGTTTTTTTGTTGTTAAGCCATGTGAGTTCTTTGTATATTATGGAGATTAACCCTTTGTCGGATAAGTGGCTTGTAAATATTTTTTCCCAATTAGTGAGCCGTTTCCTTGTTTCAATCCTGTTTTCCCCTGCCTTAAAGAAGCCCCTTAGTCTGATGAAGTCCCATCTGTTTATTCTTTCTATTGTTTCCCTCAACTGAGGAGATATAGTGTCCGAAAAGATTCTTTTGAAACTGATGTCAAAGAGTGTACTGCCTATATTCTCTTCTAGAAGACTTATTGTTTCAGGCCTAATCTTTAGGTCTTTGATCCATTTTGAGTTTATTTTGGTGTGTGGTGAAAAAGAATGGTCAATTTTCAATCTTTTGCATGTGGCTGTCCAGTTTTCCCAGCACCATTTGTTGAAGAGACTTTCTTTTGTCCATTGTAGGCCCTCTGCTCCTTTGTCGAAGATTAGCTGTCCATAGATGTGTGGTTTTATCTCTGGGCTTTCAATTCTGTTCCATTGATCTGTGGACCTGTTTTTGTACCAGTACCATGCTGTTTTGATCACTGTAGCTTTGTAGTATGTTTTGAAATCGGGGATTGTGATTCCGCCGGCTTTGTTTTTCTTGCTCAGGATTGCTTTAGCAATTCGCGGTCTTTTGTTCCCCCATATGAATTTTAGGATTGTTTGTTCAATTTCTGTGAAGAATGTTCTTGGGATTCTGATTGGGATAGCATTGAATCTGTATATTGCTTTAGGTAGTATGGACATTTTAACTATGTTTATTCTTCCAATCCATGTGCATGGAATGTCTTTCCATCTCTTTATGTCGTCGTCAATTTCTTTCAAGAAAGTCTTGCAGTTTTCATTGTATAGATCCTTCACTTCCTTGATTAAGTTTATCCCAAGGCATTTTATTCTTTTCGTTGCGATTGTGAATGGGATTGAGTTCTTGAGTTCTTTTTCTGTTAGTTCATTGTTAGTGTATAGAAATGCTACTGATTTATGTATGTTGATTTTATACCCTGCTACTTTCCTGTAGTTGTTGATTATTTCTAATAGTTTTTCTATGGATTCTTTGGGGTTTTCTATATATAACATCATGTCGTCTGCAAACAGTGAGAGTTTTATTTCTTCATTACCTATTTGGATTCCTTTTATTTCTTTTTCCTGCCGAATTGCTCTGGCCAACACCTCCAGTACTATGTTGAATAGGAGTGGTGAAAGTGGGCACCCTTGTCTTGTTCCTGTCCTCAGAGGGATGGCTTTCAGTTTTTGTCCATTGAGTATGATGTTGGCTATGGGTTTGTCATATATGGCCTTTATTATGTTGAGGTACTTTCCTTCTATACCCATTTTATTGAGGGTTTTTATTGTAAATGGGTGTTGGATCTTGTTGAATGCTTTCTCTGCATCTATTGAGATGATCATGTGGTTTTTGTTTTTCATTTTGTTGATGTAGTGTATCACGTTGATTGACTTGTGGATGTTGAACCATCCCTGTGTCCCTGGTATAAATCCCACTTGATCATGGTGTATAATCTTTTTGATGTATTGCTGTATTCAGTTTGCCAGAATTTTGTTGAGGATTTTTGCATCTATGTTCATCAGTGATATCAGCCTGTAGTTCTCCTTCTTTGTGTTGTCCTTGTCAGGTTTGGGGATCAGAGTGATGTTGGCTTCATAGAATGTGTTAGGGAGTACTCCATCTTCCTCAATTTTCTGGAATAATTTGAGAA